TTTTTTTTTTTTTTTTTTTTTTTTTTTTTTTTTACTATCTATAATATTTTTGATTGCTTAAATGCAAACATTTTTCCACTTTATTTAAAATAAAATAAAAAAAACTTAAAAAGTCATTCCATAAAGATCCATTATATAAACCAAACAACTCCATATGATCAAAATTCATTAAGGAATGAGTTTTAGGTGTTTCATTATTTCTTTGTGATATGGAAAAGTAAATTTACGAAATTGCCCTTTAGGAAAATGGATATGCCATAGATGAGAGCCAGGTGAGGAGGGCATAGGGACAGTCATTGGAATGGACCCAAAGACATAGTGAGCACAACAGAGGCCCATAAGACTGATGGACCGACAAGGCCCATAAGAATGATGGACCGACAAAGGCCATAAGAATGATGGACCGACAAGGCCCATAAGAATGATGGACCGACAAAGGCCATAAGAATGATGGACCGACAAGGCCAATAAGAATTATGGGCCGATACGGCCCATAAAAGGCCCATAAGAAGATGGACCAACAAAGGCCCATAAGAAGATGGACCGACAAAGGCCCAAGGTTGGGATGTATCTAAGAGAGTCAAGGCGGAGATATCACCGACAGTGCCGAGTTCACCACACTCACGTCGACAGCCGTGAAGAGGCAGTTGAAAGCGGCAGTGGAACGAGGGGATTCGGTGGAGTTAAGTAGTGACGGTGGAGACGGTCAGGTGGCGCCGCCCATAGTTCCGTCGTCATTTTGATTTTCGCTGTGGCAGGTGAAGAGACTAAATCCCTCTTATAGGAAACCTCTTTCCTGTATATATATCCTATGATTATTTAAATTAATAATAAATTTCAAACATTTTTAAATAATTTAATTTTTATTAATACTAAATTCACATTAGTTTTTGTTAGCTATAATATAATATAACTATTGATTCACCTCTCATCATCATTTAAATGTTCTTTTAATTATTAAGCACTCAAGTTTACTCTGATTAATGAATTATAAATTAGAATAATAAAATAAAAATTCATAAAAACAAAAATTAAAATATTAAAAGAAAATAATAAAGAATGGGTTGAGTTGAGCCCATCCACAAATTTTAAGGTTTCCTTTGGAGAAATAAAATAATAAATAAATATTATTCCCATTGGGAATTTGGTTTGTTGGAGCACTTAATGAATGAATGAGTGGAAAAGATGAAGTTCAAAGCAATGAGTTTAATTATGGATTATGGAAGAAATCATTAATGATTCTCCTTTAATCCCTTATTATTTATTTAATTATTTATTATCATCATTCTTCCCACTATTCTCTAATATGAGCTGTCACATTCATTTTTAATATATTATATTCATCGTATTCTTTCTATAAATAATACATTTATTCTTTAGAATGGTTAGTCAAATTATATTCGATAATATCACAAGAAATCTTCCTTTTAATATCAACAACATAAACATCAATGATGTAATTCAATTCAAAGTTAGACCCGTCGTTCATTCCATGTAAATTCGAAACCAAGCCTATTTTAAAAAGTTCGATACCTTTTAAATGTTGCCCATTTTGAACTTATGGGTCATTGATTTAGAGTCGGATTTGATTAAGATTCAATCCGAACCAACCGACTCGTCACGGAGAATAAAAGTTTAAGATTTGACAAAATGGGTATTATATTTACATAAATAGAAGAAGCATAAGCTCTACATTTTCTGACCCACTCATCATTAATTTCAACAAAGTTTTCCAAATTCTAATCTTTACCTCTCCTCCAAAAGCTTCTTGGAAATGAGACAAAGATTCTCTCATGTTTCTTTGTTCTGTGTTTTTCTTCGTTTTTTTGTTCTTTTTTTTTCATAGACAAACAACAAAAGACTAACCCAAAAGATTATTTAAGTTTCCGAAGCGATGTACTTCGAGCTTCAGCTGTCGGCCGACTCCGAGGTTATTACCGTTCCATCGCATTCCATTGCAGACATTGTGAGTTTGCTAACCGAATTCATCATCTTCACATCCTGACTCGACCATATATATATTCTTCTCACCATGTTACAGAATTCCCTGCAAGATTGTGTAAAACCATACGAGCGTTACGCAACCGATATCGTTGAGTCAAACAATGTGGTTGGTGGTGTATGACTTACTGCCACGGGTAATCGCCCATGAGCATTGTATCTCCTTCGTCGTCTGTGAAGACAATCTCCCACTTATCACGTGGGTGAAGTTCTCCCTTGATATCGAACATCTTTTCCAGTTCGTCAATGAGTTGGCCATACCCTTCCAACATCGTAAGGTCCACAGCACGTCCGACAGCCATCCCCTGCATTTGAACCTTCAATGTATCGACGACCAACAAGTCGATAAATTAGGGCACACCCAAAAAGTTCTAAACATGAGTAATCTGTATATAGATCTCGTATAGTCTCACCTTGGTACGACTTCGGCTGTTGGTCGAGCTGCTCTGCTTGTGCTGGATCTCTTTAGGAGGTACTTGTAAAAGTCCTAATTTTCTTTCTTTAGAAGCCTTTGGCTGGTCTGAGTTCTGCTCTGCATCAGTGATTTCATTTGGTGCGCTAATCGGTTGATCAGCAGCCATTTCGGGTGGAACTGGGCTCTTAGAATGACCGATGATATCGATCCCGAACAAGCGACAGCTTGGAGCCACCTCAGTTTTCCTCCCCTTTTCCCCAAGATCGTTAACTTGGTCGCTGCTCTTTGGATTAGATGGGTGTGGAGCTCGACATGTCGACTGTGCTACTGGCGCTCCCGAGAAGACGGTTGACCAAACATAACTGCTGTTTCGGTCATCTGTCAAATTCTGTAATCGATGCTGCGAAACACTCCCATTTGGGGAAGCTAACCAAGAGCCCTCCTTTGGGGTCCTTGATACAGAATTCCCAATGCTGCTAACATCAGTTTGCTTGTAATTCCACGTTGCGTGATTTTCAAATCGTTTCATTTCAGACGCAGCAATGCTAAGCTGTGCCCTATCGTCATGTGATTGAGTTGATCCTGGATGTCGTAGAGTTGTTACGGTTGAATTATCAGAATCTGAATAAAAACGTCACGATTAGCCAATAACTCATTTCTAACTCCTCCCACAGCCAAAAGAAGCAATAGGTAACTCTCAGCAATACCTGGAATGTCAAGTGGAGGCCGAAGCCTTTTATTCTTTACCGAAACCGATTGCGGAATGCTCGGGGACGTAGGCGCCACAAAAGGTTCAATCTCCCATGGCGAAACTCTATCAGGTCGAGGAATAGATGCAAGTTCATCCCATTGAATCTGGAAAGAAAGAGATAATACAATCAGAAATCGGGTTTGTTAAAGGAACGATGTGGGAGTAAGACTCGGGATTCCAGATGAAGACTTTACTCTTAGCGATTGCCATTTCGAATTGGGCCAGTGAGGAGATATGTCGTCAACTCCGACAATGGTACCCGAAAACCTGGTCGTATAGAACGAGTAAAACAAGAGTAAGTGATAACGCTCATGCAAAAAAGAAGGCGAAAACGCATCGCAGCATGTTATTTTCAAACTACCTTCTCTCGGGAGACTCCTCTCCCTCGAATCTCATCTTGAATCTCATCCCAACTAAGAACTTCCTGTTCATTGCTTCGATGTACTTATTCAAGCTGACGATAAACTGGCTCGCCCTGGTATCAACCGACACGAAATAGAAACAAACAGACAGCATGAACATCTTGATCGAATAACACGGAAGTACATAGAAAAAAAAAATTCATATCACCTTGGCTTATAATAGACAACAAAGCGAGTTAGAGTTGACACGGCGTGAGAGGCAGTAGCAAGCACTCCTAAGTGCATGCTGTCACTTGAAATCACAGATGAAGGCATGCTGGTTTGTTGGCGAGCAAGACGCCTCACTCCGACTCGTAATTCCCCATTTTCCCCTCTAAGAAACCATTTCATAATGAGTTAACAGATAAATCATAACCTCCCCCTACCGACGAACATCTACAAAAGGAAACTCGAGATATACCTCAAGAACACAAAAGAATCACCAGCAACTAGTCTTTTCGAAGTAACAAACGTGCTCCATCCCGTCGTTAGCAAATGCCTTCGTGGTTGACCTGTAGTCCATCATAGCGAAGATTTTCTATTATAAATCGAAAAATGGACACAAATTGAATTGAAATTGGCTATATGCTCGAGCTATAACTGTTCATAAACATATGAAGAGAGGACTCACCCCTAAAGATATGCTTGAATCGCCACTCGTAACCATGAAGATCTTTGGCTACAAGTTCTTGAGTTGGGGTCTGTTGGGTCATATCCTGAGGAACATTCACACGAGAAAATCAGAAAACATATTGATATTCCGTGGCGTGTTTACAAAAAGGAAAAGACAACTCGGTGAAGGAGAATTACCAATGGAGGCAGGCATTCCGTGGCGTGTTTACGAAGCACGGAGAATCCTCCATGGGTGCTAGTATCAGAAGCAGTCAAGACCTTGCAAAATGAATGGACTTTCGGTTTTCGACACTCTGGTGGCGAAGGATCAGGGTTTGTAGGTTCCTCTTGCTGAACAGCAATCCAATATTAGTAAAAAGGGTCTAAAACTCACGTTTGTTTGTCCAAAACTAACAAACAGTTCTTACATTTGAATCAGGCATTAAAGTTATCTGTGCATAAACCTCATCTGTTTCCTGCTCAGCCTAAAATTTCAAGACAAGATCAAACAAAGTGGCTTATATCTAGAGGCCTAATCAAACAAAGAAACAGACAAGAACAGAGGATTAAGAAGAGAAGTTACCAGCAGGCGAACATCAACAACACGGCAGAGAATTTTGGAGGAAAGTTTAAACAAGGGTTGTTTCTGATTCAGTTCATGATTTGGAGATGCCTCCAACTATATGAACCAACATTTTTCAATCAAACCCAGAAAGGAAATAACAAAAACAACCCTAAAAATCCAGAAACAGAGCTCGATCTGAAAAGTTACCTGTTCCATGTGGCCTTGAGGGAAGTAGAAAACCTTGTCATTAACTCGAGGAACTTCCACAAGAGGCCCAGCCGATGCCTTCCAAAGCTCGGTGTACAGTCCATCTCCTCCCCCACCTGAGAAACCAGAAATTTTCAGAGAAGAAGAAGGTTTAAGAAGAGGAAACAGGAACGACCCATTTGAAGTTACCTTGAGACGACCCTCCTCCCCGATTAGCCATTATTGAACCTTCCCGCGTCCCCCACAAGTCAACAACAGAAAACGAAGGTAATCCGAAAACAGAGCCGCCGCCGCCGCCGCTGCTAATAGCAAAATACGCATAAACCCGCCTCTAATTATAACCAGAAATGAAGGTTAATGGCGATTTTATAGATTTCCCAGCAAGAAGAAGAAGAAGAAGAAGAAGAAGGAGGAGAAGATGATGATGAAAACTGTAACGCTCCAGCAGTAGCCGCCCCTTCCCCCGCCTTTGGCTGCCGTTACAGAACCGTTTTTGGAAGAGCTCTAAAACCCGCTTTTGCTTCTCTTCTACTCTCGCCTTGTTCTCTCCTCTCTCTCTCTCTCTCTCTCTCTTGTTTTTATCTCTTTGGAATCCGGGAAAAAACGCCGTTACAGAGAATGCCAAAAAAACCTTCCCCCCCTTCCTATTATACCGGTGCCTTCCTGCTTCAGCTCCCTCTTCTCTCTCCTCTCTTTCTCTCTCTACTTCCCTTTTTCATTTTCTTTCTATTTTCTAATAAACAGAGTCGCAATCCATTATTTTGTTGTGAGGAGAATAAACATGATATCAATTTACACTATTGTTTTTTCTCAAGTTTTTTTCTTTTGGGTATTCATGGAATCAACCCACCCCCTCCCACCTCTTTTAATTTGAAAAATCCTATACATTTTCCTCTGTTTTTTTTTATTTCAATTTTGATTTCAACCCTTTGAACAAGTCTACCTCAACGTGTCTTTTGTAAGACAACCAAAGATTACATAGGAGAATGAAACACTACATGTAATGGTGTGGAAGCCTCTCATCATTTTAAAAATCTAGGGAAAGTCCAAATAGGACAATTTGGCATGAGCCCTATCAATACCATAAAAAATTTTAACCAGTAAACGACTATGTCTAACATTGCTTAAATCAATGAAACTATTTGACAATTTGAAAGTTCGTGTAAATACTTGTATTTGTTTTGTTGGGCTATAAAAACTTTTATTTAGTCTTTTATTATGGAAGTATATGATTATTGATTTGTCTACGCTAACTTAACCAATGCATGACATGTTGTTATTATTATTATTACTATTTTTGTTGCGTTTCTTTGAAGCTCAATTAATTATTTATATATTATTGATTTAGCATGCGAACGTAATATCAAAATCATCCACTAATTTTCAATGGAATTTCCCACATATACTAACAATGAACACATTTCTTTTTTGGTTCGAGCAATTCTATATTGAGTGTACTCTTGAATTGAATATTTTATGGAGAATATTTTTATATTATTATAAATTTTTAATTCGAGAATTGTGATTGGCCATTCGAAAAGAAAAGAACCATGGTTAGATTGTAACCCAAGGGGAGGGGTGAGGCAAACTAGAGGTAGAAGAATGGTGGGGGTTGGGGGGCAAAGAAAACGGTTTACGGCGACAGCTGCCGTGTAATAACGGCCGGCGACGATTTAAAAGAAAAAAGAAATTAAATGAAAATAAACGTAGAGAGTACGGAAAAGACATAGAGATGCGTGTGGTGGAAGTTAACGGGAGAGTTAAATTGAGAGGAGGAGACAGGGACGTCACCGTTAGCTGTTGCCGTTCCCTTTCGTTGTCTGCTTCGAAGCAGGCAACAACGTTGGCTCGGGTTAACCCGGCAGGAAAATTTAAAAGGCTTTATTTATTTATTTATTTATATATTTATATATTTTCCGTTTTAGTAATTAATACATATTATTTTGTTTTTTTTATATTCTATTTATGTTGGGTTGTTTTTCTTTATTTCTCCCCTGCCTTTCTTGTTGTCAGATGCTTATTATTGTAAGTTTGACCTTGATGTGTGGTCATAATTGCTGAATATGCCACTCCACTTTACATGGGTCCCACGTGTAAACGTGGGGATAATTCATAATTTTTTCTCCTCTCTTTGACCAATTATTTTTCCTTCCCAATCCCAGATAATCTGCCACCAGTTGGGTGGTCCTGCTCTCTACACGTCAGCACATGTTCTGTTTTATTGGGAAATTTCCATCTCCCAAAAATATTAATTATTACGTTCCGTCTAGGATATACTCCCTCCTATATTATCATAAATGCCCTTTCCCTGTCACCTCGGTCCCACTTCCGAATCGCGACTTTCCTTCATTTTAAATAACTATTTTTTATTTAAGATATTTAATCAACAAAGTAATACAAATGTTCCAGTAATTACGAACAAGAAATAAAAAGGATTTGAATTGAAAGTAATTATTTGGTTATTCCTTTTATCTTCAAAGAACCCTTTAAAGTTTAATTAGATTAATTAAATGAAAGGTTTCTATTATTCCCCTTCGCATCTTCTAACACATTAACCAAACTTTGTGTCCCCTAAGATATTATATATTTATACCTATTCAAGATGCCTTCCACAAATTTCTTCTTCTTCCTTTTTTTTTTTTCAATAAAAAATTAATATTTTATTTTTTAATGTTTTATTTTTATGGGACAAAAATAAGTGGAATTCCACATTTTTCACATTCAATATACACTTTTTAACTAAAATTTCTGTAGGAGTGGGTCTAATGCCTGTTTTTAGTTCACATTTGCTATTTTATATACTAATTTCCAAACTAAACTATTTATCGAGAATTATAAAAGAAATAAAAAATAATAATAAGTTGGAGAGGCGAACGAGTCATTTTTTATAAGGGTATGGAAACCTCTCATTCGGGTGGATATTCGGCGGTGTACTAGCAAAGATGTTAAGCCTTGAAAGGGTAACACCAAGCGGTGTGCCAACAAGAACATTAGGCCCCGAAGGATTGGATTGTGAGATCTCACATTGAAAACCTCCCCCTACCAAAGAAAAGTTCAAATAAAATAATATCTGCTCGAAGTAGGCTTCAGGTGTTTGAAACATTTCCTTTTTTAAATGAAGCTTACGTCCGTCTATGAATTGGATTAAAAATTCAAATATTTATTTAGGAAGATAACCGTAGAAATAAATAGTTATTAAAAGTAAACTGTCTCAAAATTTTGATTTTTTTAACATTAAATATTTAAAAATATTACCGTGTATCTTACGCAATTTATTTGAATTTTCGATGCCTTTATGAACTAATTACCCAATATAGATTGACGCGGTTACAGTTCAATGTATATAAGCTATTTAACCTAATGTCTTCAGGTTCGCGCGTTTTATTTATTTAAATTGTCATCAGTGACTTTATCTTGACTCCTTTATATTTACGGTTAACTACTTTATTGTACCTACCATATTTACTCGGACAAAAACATTAACTATCTTACTCAATATGAATCGATACGGTTACATTTTTTTTATTCGCGTCCCTCAACTTAATTTATATGACTCGAAATTTGTTGGGTTAAAAATTATATATATATATATATATATATATATATATATATTTTACAAAATAAAAAAATATTCTCGTTCAAAAAGGTTTGTAGAACGATATCTTTAAAAGGGATTTCATTCTATCAAAACATATCAAGATGATCCCGCTGTAATTAATTTTGTATATTGTGATTCAATTTATTTGTAGAATATTTTTCTTTTTCTTTTTTCAATTTTTTTTTTCATTATTGTTCATAAAGAGTTTTGACTTTGGAATAATTGTCTTTTAAACATCATGTTTGCGACCTAAATTATAAGTAAACCAAATTAAAATGTTTTTTAAGGAAGATTCTAAGAAATTACAAGGAAATTTTGTTTTATTTATTTATTTATTTATTTACAAATTGTGGTGCATTTGTTGTAAATTTGTTTACATTTTTTTGTTTCTAGTTTCTTTTGAATATCATTTAATTTATAAGCCTTTTGACCAAAAGCTCGTGAAATTATCGTTCCATTTATAGCTTTCTTTTGGGCTTCGTCCCGTTTAGTAGCCTTCTCTAAAACTGTTAAAGAACATAGATCATCGACGCTTTGTAACAGTCCAACCTCACTGCTAGTAGATATTGTCCTCTTTAGATTTTCCCTCAAGGTTTTAAAATGTGTTTTCTAGAGAAAGGTTTCCACGTCCTTATAAAAAATGTTTTACAATCCACCATCTTTAGAGCCTAGCGTCCTCACTGACACACGACCCAGTGTCCTATTGAGATTGTTACAATTGCAAGAAAGGTTTAAGGGGGGTGGACACCGAGTCGTGTGCCAGCGAGAACACTGGACCAACCTCTCTCCTATCTCTAAGAGCAGAGAAGCGAACACTTTCAACCTTCTTGCTTCTTTGTTTTCTCAAGCTCTTTCGAGATAGAGCAAACCCAAGAAGACGATTGAATCACGTACATGATTTAAATCACACTACAAGCCTTTTCCATTATCTTATTCCTCTATTATGGATATTACAATCAATTTAAGCTTACGTAGTCCTTTTTCGATTATATTTAATTTCAGTTATTCATCAGAGACCATTACAATAAAGAATCGAAAAGTAATTTGACACAAACAATAAGATTCGATGTAAATTGATACAATAATTAGGATTTAAACCTCAATAATATGACTCTAATCTTAGATTTGAAAAATAATTTAAACAGTATTTGTAGAGCCCACGTTCGTGATTACACTCTTTTAAGAATGATGTTTAGTGGTAATGGATAAGCATTTGTATAACCAAAGTTTAATTTTTTTAATTTAAAAATTTTAAAAAGAGAAAAAAGGTTTATAAAGTTTAATTTTATTTTAATTGTAATGGAGAAGAAGATGGACTATGGTTAGGACAAGCCAATAAAGATATGGTAATGTGTTGTGTTGGCTGTACCTCTACATAATTAGGGCACCAGATAGTTATTTCTTAAGCTCTACTTTAATATTCTGACACGTGTCCATTATTATGCTAATAATTAAATATTATAAGCTGTCCCTTGCCTCTATTCAAGGGTTGGGGTCTATTTCTCTTTATTTATTTATTTATTTATTTATTTATTTATTTATTTATTTATTATTCACCCAAATTACACTTTTATAGCCCTAAAAGGAGATAATGCTACTTTTTGGTTGAGGTAATTAAAGGATTATCGAAATAATAATAATAATAATAGATAGATAGATGGTGAATTCAATACAAAATAAGAATGTAATTTTATTATTGAAAATATTAATAGTTAAATTGATGCTTTTAAAAACTAGAGGTAAAAAAAAAAAAAAATAATAATAATTATTCTCATACAAAATGAATGAGATGCTCATGTTCGAGCTAAATTAATAAAAATATACTTTAAACTTTGTATTTTAAAATAATTCTATTCAAAATTTTAAAAAATATTCTTAAATTTAAATAAATTGAAAAAATATCTTTAAATTTTCAATATTATCTTTTAAGTTAAAAAAATACGGTTAGGGTTTTTAAAAATTAAATTAATATTCTTAATTTTTTAAAACAATTTCAAAAATATATTTGAATTTTTTTACCAACTTCAAAAATATCTTTAATTAAAAAAAATACTTTTATTGTTAAAGATAGGTTAAAAAATTTGGACATAATTTATGGGATGTTGATAGACAGTTTTTGTCCATATATTGACGATAATTTTTTAATTTTTTTTATGAAAGTAACGAATATTAATGCTACTTTTAAAACTTAATGTATATACTTTTTTAAATATAGTATTAACGGTAGAATTTTTTTTAAAATTTTTAAATATTGATGGGTACTTTTGAAATAGGTTATTTTTAAAAGAAATCATATCCTTCTAAAATTAAGAATAAAAATAATTAAAAAATTTTTAGGAGTTATTTTGATGAATTTAGCAAGAAAGGAGGGTAGTTTAGGTAGAGAAAAGATGAGATGAATAATGATGATTGATACAATGATTAGTGAAGTGCTTAAACCTTAAATAATGATGGAAGATGAAAAATGCATGTGACCAAATAAAAAGAGAATCGGACGGCTATGATTGATTTGGAAGTAATTGCGAGGATGATAATCATAGAGATGATGTACTTGATCCACCCGAGTTCGAAGGCGACCCCACCGTGGGAATTTATAAGGCTCTAAAAAGGAATAATTAAATGCAATTAAGTTTTAAAGAAACAATGAAAATAAATAAATAAATAAACAATTAATTAAATTTAATAGCATTATTGGGATGTGTTATAAATATTGTTTGCAGCTTCCCCATGTGGACACCATTCCAACTTGTTCTGTCTTTCCTCCTTTGCCCTACGCCTGCACAAAGGACCACTCCTACACACACCTTTTTTTTTTATTTTTTTTCCTTTTTATTTATAAATTATTAATACGTTACGCTATGTAATTAAAATAATTTTATTAAGTTATTTTTTAGGTTTATTATCGAACGACATCATTTGTTCTTTGTTAAAACACGCACAACTCACAAAATTATTATATTATACAATTAAAATATTTTATAGATTATTATTTAAATTTACTACAAAACTACGTCATCTATTCGTTAGAAAAACGACATCATCTTTATAAATTTAATCATCAATTTGATTACCGGTTTTTTGAATTTTTTTAATATTTAAATTTTATAGTTAAATAAATGCAAATCTAAAAATTTGGATTAATTTAATCTAAATTTTGTTTTTAATTATTGAAATGCAATATTCTTCCTCGAGATTTTTTTTATTTGTGGAATATTATTTCATTGCATTAAGAACGACGTCGTATTTGCTAAGGATAATTCATTCAAAATTTCCATAATATTCAAATAAGTTGTTTCAATTCATCTTTTTTCTTTTTTAATTACATATATATATATATATATATAAGCCAACTGGAAGTCACATGTGATAAATAAATCCAAATATTTCATTTAAAAAAACAAGGGCACAATTGAGTACAACCAGGAGTAGAGTAAGGAGAATTGTACGCTCAATGGGCTTTTCTTTAATTAGTTATTTGTGAACCATCAAATCAAATAAATTGCTTAACAATAAAATATGATAATATTTAATAGAATTCCTTTTTATTTAAAAATAATAATGGAAAGAAATAAATTTAAAAAAAGTAATGATCTTGGTTAAGATTTTCAATTGCAATTCCATAATGTAAAATTTGATTAAGGGATGGAAATCAAGTGGAAATAATCATGGGAAAATGGAAAATTAGCCATTAATAATCCAATTTGATGAAGTGGAGGATTTTTTTTTAATCATATTATTAATAAAAATTATGCTCCATTGTGCTATATATAATTTTTTATTTAATTTAAATGTATTGTTATTGGATAAATAAATTATTAATTAAAAAGACAAAGGGTAAGGAAAATATTTGGCACACGTGTATCCAAATTAGCAACCCTCACAAAGCAAGAATTTGGAAAAAGATTTGAGGATGGCAAACATGTAATAAAGAAAAAAAGCAATATACAAAAGACAAGAAATTAAAGAAAAGCAAAACCAAAATCATTTAGATTGGTCAACCTTAAGTTGGAAAATTTTGTAATTAGTCAAACTTTTTAATGCCTATTTAATTTGATGTTATTAGTGAATCTAAAAGGATAAAGATGGGTGAGGAAACCCTAATTTATGGGGTGACGAACTGTAGTGCTCAAAATTAGGTAAATGCCATATCTACTACCTCACAATCTTTAAGGGTTTATTCGATTTAATTTCTAAAGTGTTCTTTCGATGACCTAATTACTTCTTCATTTTTGCTTCTGTTTTCACTTCCTACTTTAGGTCCCGCTGTTTCATATTGAACTACCAGAGGGCCTTAGTACTTCAATATAAGGTTGCATGTTAATAATAGGAAAGCGAGATACAGTGAAAATTTGTATTGTAATTTGGAGAACCACTTGTGATATTGTTTTCTGCATTTGAAATTAATTTATTTGTTGTGGTCATTTAAAGGTCATATTGTTTTTTTTTTTTTTTTTATTTATATATTTGACAATTCACTATTTTATATTTTTAACTCTTAAATTTTCCTAGGTTGACCAAAAAATTTGTGTAACAATTAAACCAATTGAAAAAAATAAGGGAACTTGTTGCGTTATTTTCAAGTTATTTCTTTTCTAATTCAATATAATATAATCTTTATTATCGTGTAAGAATTGTAGGACGACCCTATAATAAAATATTTGTGTTTATTAAGTTGATCTCGTTAATTTGCGTCTATTTAATTCGTGAATATTAAAAAATTAATTGTTTTAATTTTGTATTGATACCTCGGATAAATTAATTTCTTTAAAAAATAAATATTTTTTATTCGGATGTCATCAAAATTTAAAATATGTAAATTCATGAATATTTTGAGTCATAAAAAATATTATTCCATGTATATCAAGGATGGTTGACATTTCACACTCCATGATATTGATGGATATAATAATAAAATTAAAAAAAAAAAAATTAAGTTATGAAATTAAAAAAAAAGGGGAAATAATCATGACAATTTTTTCTGCAAGATTGTTAAATAGAGAATAAATATATAATAAAGAATTGCAATAATTTGTTGAGAATCTTGACAGGGAATATTCTCAGAATAATCTTTTTGTTTAGAAATAATCCAAGTCATGGCTAATTTATTTTTGTATGGGATTAAAATATTAAATTAAAAAAGAAAAAAAGAAAAAAAGAAAAAAAGAAAAAAGAAGGTAAGGGTATATAAGTAAATTGACGACCGAGATAAGCGCGTCGAGATGATGCATGGGTGCCCATGTGGTAGCTCATACATTCACCTGCAGCCACTACAGTAACCACCACCAACCCAACTAGCTTTTCTTTTACTTTTCTTGCCCTTCTTATTTTTTTAATTAATGTCGGTGCTAAAGTTAACATTAATTTAATTAATCTCATTTATTTCTATAATATTATATCTTAGAAAGAGAAGAGGACGTATAGAAGCTTAGGGGACAACTTTTTGTTTCCATTATATATTTATTTATTTTCCCACTTAGTACTCGTTCATTCTGTTTTTCTCCTCCTTTTAAATTAATTAATTAACCATTTTAGTAGTAATCAGGAATGAGAAGGTTAGGGCCCATTGGGCTTTTCTGGATCCTAACTCATCAAAGTATTCCATTTTTATTGGGCTTATGACCAAATGATTTTCTATCCATTTAAATTATTTAACTTAATTCATTTATATTTTCTTTGAATTTTTAAACAAATATTTACTGTATATTATTAATTAATAAATGCGGCTTAATTATAAAAATTCTAAATGGGTAATGTGATCTCCAAAATCACTCATGTTAGTTGGTGGGATACGCGTTGCTTCGTCACGGACCAGGGTCACGGGTGAAGGCTCAACTAACTAGTCACGGACGGACCACGTCAAAGCTAACACAGAAAATGGGAGTCACGTGGCTGTGGCCGACCTTGCTCCCACCGAACCCACAAAGTCTCGGCCCTTTCTAGAATTCTTCAATTTCCTCACACGGCCACTCCCTTCCATTTGACTACGCGTTCTTTGGGATAATCACTTTCTCATTTGCTTAATCACTCTAACCTTCTTCGTTCTTTAATGATTTCTTATCCTATTTGTTTGTTTCTTTTGAATTTTGATGCCTTTTTCTTCCTTTGAATTCGCCCTTTTTTCATCTTCTACACGCAATCTCCTCTTCCTTTACCTAATACCCATCTCTTTTGTTTGGTATTACTCTCTGGGTTTTTGATTTCTCTGAGTTAGGGGCTAAGTTCGGAGGTGGGTTTGTTCAGAAATGGAGAGTAACCCGCAATCGCTTAGGCAATTCAGCGACCAGCTTCGACTGCAATCTGGGAATCTTACGAACCTGTCGCTCAACGATTCTATCTGGAGCAATTCGTATGTCTCCAAGAGGCACGAAGAGAGGAGGAATTTCGATGTGCGAAATGGCGGAGAGGTAAATTTAGTGAATAATTTTAAGCCCAAACTGTGTGATTCTGATGTCAATCGGTTCAATGATGGATGGAATAGTTTTAAGCCGAGAGTTGCTTCTGATCTTAATAATTGGAATAACAGTAGCAATCTTAGTTCAACTGGGTATGAAAAGAATGCACTCAATGTGTTTGATAATGGGTGGAATAGTTTGAAGCCACAGGGGTCTGATTTTAATGGCTTCAACGATGGTTGGAAGCTTAATTCTGCAAATATGGGGGTTGATCCAGTGGTTGGAGGAACCCAAAAGGGTATTAACGGAGGGTTTAACCAAGGGATTTTCTCACAAATTGGGAATTTTAACAGTAATGGTTTTGTAAATGTGAAGAACTACAAGAACAGTGGGAAGGTTGAAGAAGAAAATGGAGGAAAGAATGGGAAGAAGAACAGTAACAAGAAGATTAATGGTGAAAATAGCAATGATAATAAGGAAAGTAATAAGAATGGTTTGGACAAGAGGTTCAAAACCCTTCCCCCATCTGAGTCTTTGCCCAGAAATGAAACAATTGGTGGATATATCTTTGTCTGCAACAATGATACAATGCAAGAGAATCTGAAGAGGCAGCTTTTTGGTAAGTTTAATGATCCAACTTGGTTTTTGCTTAGTCTTATGTATCTGTGTTTTGTTGTGTAGGATGTTCTAAGATTTTGTTGTTTGATCAACGCTGTAGGTTTGCCTCCAAGATACAGAGATTCTGTCAGGGCCATAACTCCTGGGCTGCCTATTTTCCTCTACAACTATTCTACCCACCAACTCCATGGAATCTTTGAGGTATGTCCATGTCTTCTCCTTCTTCCATCCAGATATTGTTCACTTTGAGAGCATGAGCTCTCGTGACTTTGCTTTGCTTTTGGTTTCACTAGGGAGATGTATTCCTTATTTTATACCTATGATTATTCTTTAATTAGCCAATGTGGGACTCCTCTTCTAACAATCCTGCCCTCGAACAAAGTACACTATAGAGCCTCCCCTGAGGCCTATGAAGCCCTTGAACAACCTCTCCTTAATCGAGGCTCGACTCCTTTTCGGGAGCCTTTGAACAAAGTACGCCCTTTGTTCTACGCTTTAGTCACTTTTGACTACACCTTTGAGACTCACAACTGTTTTGTTCGAGATTTGAAGATTCTATTGACAGAACTAAGTTAAGGACATGACTCTGATACTATGTTAGGAACAATGGACCTCCTCTTAGTCTGTTTGGTTTTACTTCTTTTAAGTCTATGATCTGTGTTTTCAGGCTGCAAGCTTTGGAGGGGCAAACATTGATCCAACTGCCTGGGAAGACAAGAAAACTCCGGGCGAATCTCGTTTCCCGGCGCAGGTAATGTTTGGATAGAACCTACTCCTTCAATCTTGCACTTCCATAGATCTAAGATGAAACTCAACTGTTTGGAACAGGTCAGAACTGTGACTAGGAAGATATGTGAGCCACTGGAAGAGGACTCTTTCAGACCGATTCTTCACCATTACGACGGTCCCAAGTTTCGTCTCGAACTCAACATTCCAGAGGTAATTGCAGAGCAAACAAAACCATGAATTCTGTAGCTAGCTAACCGAAGACCTCAACAACTCTAATATTGGCTCTGAAAAACTTGCAGGCACTCTCTCTGCTGGATATATTTGAAGAACAATCCTGTTGAACAGCATAACATGCTCCTACACTAGTCAGGCAGGACGCGTAGTACTCGTATGCGAATTAATCGATAGAATTGCCAACAACGACAATGATGATTGAAAGGATCATCATGATCATGTGAGTTTAAGCTATAAGTGTGTTTGGTGTTTGTGTGGTGTTGTCTGATAGAGTAACTGAAGATGGAAAAGGTTCGTAAGTGTAATGTAACAATAAATATGTATTATATGGGGTTTGAGTTATGGATATTGCATGGTTCCATTATAAGAGATGAACGTTTAATTCACGTTATCAGAGTTCAAAATGAATATGAGATACCACACTCGATTTAGTTCATGGATTTGTTAATCTTAATACTAATGTACTCCTAATCATATCTTAAACCGTTTAAGAAACAAAATAAATATAAACATAGATGCATTTTTCCATAAAAACATCAAAATTTACACTTAAGAGTATTTATTTGGGGGAGTTTATGTGGCATATAAACACCCATTTCCAGAATGAAAATCCTTCATTTGTGCTTTATTATTGTTTCCAACATCAATTGGAAAAAACTTCGACCAATTCCCCCATGTCGGCTTCCACCCTCCGATCTTCTCCCGCCGTGGACTCTGCACCGCCGCCGTCGCCGCCGCCGCTCTCATCCTCTCAATCAACGCCTCTGTGTTCCCATCCTCTGCCAAAATTTCCCCCAACTGCTTCGTATCGATCACTAATTTGACCCTCCAAATGCCATCGCCACCTGTCGGAAGCACTTCTAGCCCCGACCCAGTTCTCAGATCCCCCGCCGCATCGGACCTCTCTTTCTCCGCGGCTCGGGAAAGCGGGAGGAGAAAGTAGGATTTTCCGGCGTCGAGGGGCTCCGAAATGGGCAAGGGCGAAGAGAGATTGGGGCGCCGGAAAACGCCATAGACGCCGGGAGGATAGTTCTTGAGGATTTGATCGACTTGTTTAGGGCCATGGAAGTTGATTATGTTGCCGGAATCGGTTAAGATTCTGATGGGCTTTTCGCAATCGGCGGCCACTCCTTTCAGAGAACAGTTTCCCATTGCGATTTGCGACGCCTTTTCTTGTAGGTCATTAATAACGGAGCTCTCCAGTGGTCTTATTTATAGTAAAAATTCGAATTTTATTTTTTGAAAATTTAATTCATAGGACCGTTTAATGCCAGTGGAATTCTCATTTCAATTATTTTAATTAATGTTATATTTTTAAGATAAAAGTAGAATTTATTAATATATTTGAAATATTAACCAATAGATGACGACAACGAACTTAATTTTATAGTTCTAAGAAACATCATAAATGTTATGTTCAGTGCCATAATACCACAACTTTTAAGGTTCTAATACTGCCACAACCGAAATATTTTGATATCCAATTATTGTAGCGGAATGTCACAACCAAATACTATGATACTACTTGTTGTGCCCAAATGGCACCACCAAAGAGCTCTGATACCCAATTGTTGTAGCCCAAATGTAGAAGTAAAATCGATCATACTCACATACCCACAAACAAAAATTAAGTTAAGAGACACAATTGTGGCATGTTCTATGTAACCTTCTAAATTTTATACAATAATTACTACATTACTTTTCAATTTTTTAAAAAAGTAGATGTCTTAACTGTACAGCCATCGAACCGTTGGCTTGTTTATTCAAAATGACACAGTAACGATGGATTAATAATCGATTAATGTCAAAACCTAAGACGAAAAAAAACGAAGAGCTAGTGAATTAGGAAGAGACAATTTAGAGTAGAGAGAGACATGTGAGTTTGGACCGTTGGAGGGAGAAGATAAGGTTTGGAGTAGGACAAAAACACAGCCTTATTTTGAGGGAAAACAACATAAATGAAAGGAGGTTATTATTAATAAGTAATAATAATAATTTAATAAAAAAGACAAAGTTTTTTATGAGACAATTTGCGTTGAATCTCACGTTTGATTGATTCCTTTTCCCAACACATAATATATTAAATTAACTTTGTTTGTCATAACAATTAAACTTTTTTCGTAGGTTCAATGAATTCAAATTTCTAATTTTAACGAAAATGTTTTAGCCTATTAACCAGAACCGATGTAAGATTCCACAATCTACTTTTTTGAAGGTCTAATGTCGGTGTCATCTTTGTAATTTTAAAATAAATGTTTTATTTTTCTCTCTAATCGACGTGAGATTCTACAATCCACCTCCCTGAGGGTCCAACATCCTTATTGACACACCGCCTGATTTTTTAACTTTGACACCAACTGTAATAACCCAAGCCCACCGCTATTAAATATTGTCGGGTTTAGATTGCTACGTATCGCCTTCAGCTTACGCTTTTAAAACGTGTCTACTAGGAAAATGTTCAAATTTTTCTGACATTTTGAGTGAAAAAGAATCATATTTTTACCATGACGTGGTATTTGAAAGATGGCATAACCCAAAAGAGACCGAACTTTTATGATCATAAATAAAAGGTTTGGGTTGAAATGAAGTACGAAAAAGAAGGAATGTGAGCATCCCTAAAGCAAACGCAATTACATTTTTAAAGCAAAGTCGATAAAGCTGATAATTTTGGGAGTCACCACGCACCATATAAACAAAGCCTAACGTACCTTTTGGGAGTAAAAAGTTATTAAGTGGTTCCAACTCCTTCCCACCATAAAACCAGGTTTAGTTTTAAATTTGGTATGTGAATTGGTATAAATTGTTAAGATTAAAAATTTGTTTGACCCAAAATAAAATTGAGAGATAAAATTTAAATATTTAAAGTTGAAAGACCTATCTAACACAAATTTGAAATTTCATATACTTACTTAAGTTTAAAAACTGCATGTGAGATCCCATATGGATTGAGGAGAAAAATAAAACATTCTTTATATGGGTGCAAAAACCGAAGACAAAGGAAAACTCAAAGGGAAAACCCAAGGAAAAGACAACATTTACTAGTGGTGGACTTGAGCTGTCAGTACCTATGTCCTGGTGCTCTGATACCAAATTTGTCACGACTCGAAATACATAATTTCAAGCCGTGACTAACATGAAATATGACACATAATGTATAAACGAGAAATTCAAGGAAAAACATTTATCTCAAAAGAATTTCATTCATTTCGTAAGAAAAACGTTTCATTACTAAAAAGACATGTGCCTAGGTAAAAACAAGAGAAGAAACATGAAAGACCAAGTATACTATTCAGTAGACTAGACTGACGCCCCGGGACACGCTTCCTCTGTGACTACCCTCATCGATCAACGCGCCCTCTCTTGACTCAACGCCTCACGTACCTGAAAAAAAAAAAAAAGTATAACCAAAATGAGTATAAGAATTATACTCAGTAAGCCTCCTACTTGTAGGCTCTCATCGCATTCCAATTACGACAAACTCTCACGATCTCTTTCCTTGACTTTTGTACATCTAGATTAGGTTTTAGCTCCTTGGGGTTGCTTCGTCCTATCATTTATACCCTAAGAGTTCCCTTATGTCATTCTGTGCTTGATTGGTACTCTTCGAGTAGCTACCTTGGCATGGCTATGAGACTACCTGATATCATATCTAGGAAGTGAGCTGCAACCCCCTAGTCCACGATAATCCCCCATTATTCGGGGAGGGCTACCTCCCCCATTCCCATCCAGCTAAATGGTCCGTTCCAACGTGGGTCTCTCATTTCCCATGCTAAAACAGCTTTAGAGTAGATGAGTCCTGATCAGGAACCCCCTGGTCTCCCACGAAACATTATCACCAATCGTACACAGTTAACTTAAGGGTTCCCTAGTGCAGTTTGTTTACCGTGGTAGTTTCTTATGTTTCTAGGAGAGGGCTCAAGTCTGTTCTTAGTATCATGTTACTCAAACCATAAATCCCTAGACTTAATCATACAAGTGGGCCATGAAAATCAACTGGGTAAGTACATAATTGCCATCCAACATCATCGTACAATTTTCATGCAAGGTAAACATACAAGCTCAATGGGGTGATATTGTCCATCAACTCCCGGAGCGCAGATTTCACAAATTTCCATCATCCATTCAGCATAGAATATCCATATACATAGCAAGCGGAAACTTAAAGTATAACAATACTCAGGTAATCCTCGTAGTAATTCACACAATACACCCTACTTTTAACAATCGAATACCTACAAACAATCACGGGAAGTTTCGACCTAATGTAATTAAACTAGCATGCATGCATTCCAAGCGACTCCTACAAGTATTACTTCCTAGAATTCCGTGTGGTGACTTACTTGGACGATGCGTGCCCTTACGTAGCATTTCCACACACTTGGCGTATCGAAAGGTGGTAATTTTTCCTCAATTAGGTCCTATTTCATACAAAATGGAGTTAGGATTGGAATCAGGAGAAAAATAGGGAAAACAGAAGAAAATCGGCTTACACGCGCTTCCACGCGCCAGCCACGCGCAGGGGAGCAACCACTCGCAGGTTCCACGAGCGAGTGTCGCGCGCCCAGAGTTTTCTGCAGTCACGAATCGCGGGTTCGGGTTGGAAGCAGTGGTTCGGGTGGACCGCGGGTCGTCGGCTCGGTTCTCCGCGCGGGTATCAGGTCAGCCGACGGGGGCGAGTCGGGTTGTGAAGCCGGGGACGCGTGTCGCAGGAGAGCTGGAGCCGCGTTTTCCCAGACGGCGTCCGACGCGTTTCCAAAGGTGATTGGCGCACGCAGTCCTCTAGCCGGTTGACACGTGGCCGGTGGATTTCCGATTAGTTTTCCGGGGTTCTTTCCTATCTCTCGATTCTTAATCCAGACAGAACTGGTTTCTTCAACAAAGTTTTAGATCATACTACAACCTACTGCCAATATTTTTTCTTGGTTTTTTACTTAGTCATACGATGAGTTATGAGCGTCGAAAAGAGGTCCGATAACATTCTTACCGTTCTTGAAAGGTTCTCAGATCTCGACGTTGCGTCCGATTTCCTCACCAAAATCAGTGGCGGATCTTCCCTGGATGAACGTAGTAAACTTAAACACTCTACTCCCAAACAAAGATCTCGGATCTGAATAGTATAGTTCGAAATCTTGATGAAGGAGGAGGAAATCTCAACACGAGTTCTTACTTCACTCCAAGAAGGGCTCCAGAGTGTAGGTCTTAGTAGGGAATGGATTCCGTCGGCAACTCTCCGACGAAAAACTCCGGCTATTCAGTTTTCTCTCTCAAACTTTCTCTCAATCCTTCTCTCTCACTCTTCTTCTGGTCGAGTACCCTCAAGACCCCTATGATGGGCTGAGGGGTAAAATGTCTATTTTGCCCCTCGGCCTTTTTTGGTTACAAATGGTATCAGAGCCAGATACCGGATGATGTGCTTGCGAGGAGGTTGAGTCTTGAAGGAGGGTGGACACGAGGTAGTATGCCAGTAAGGACGTTGGATCTCGAGAATATTGGCCCCAAAAGAGATGGATTGTGAGATCTCACATCGGTTGGAGTGAGAACAAAACATTCCTTATAAAGGTGTAGGTTTGTAGAAAAGAATGCTTGATGTATTGATTTATTTTGGAAAGGAAGTGTGTGCGAGTTGTTTATTTCAGGAATAAGTTGTTTCAAGAATGAGTTGGATACAATCAACTGTACTTTGTTTTGTTATAACTACAAAAAGGTGCATAATCCCCGCGAATTACTTCGGACAAAATGAAGAAATGATATTGAAAAACCATAGCATTTTGTGATTCATTGGTAAATTCACTTTGATTCTCTATCAACCAATAATGTGGGACCATTAACATGGTTAAAGCTAAACTGTTTGAAGTCTAAACGCAGCATGGTACTCTTTCTACTACTATGTTAATACATAAATCTTCCAAGTAGACGCGTTTTAAAAACTTTGAAGAAAAGTCCGAAAGGTAAATCCCGAAGAGGACAATATCTCCTAGTGGGCTTGAGCTTTTTCACTTCACTATATATACACAATTTATAAACTCAACTTGTAATTTAACCTAAAAAGTTAGAAAAGAAATGCTGAAAACAGATACAAAACAACATAAAATGAATCACCACACCTAATTAGAGATATCTTTGCAGAATGCAGCAAGCTGCATGAATTCGAGCATTATAATAATTCCTAAAAACAAACCTGCACAATTCACAAAGAGCTTCTGAAGACTAATCAATGTCCTACCATATATATATATATATATATATATATATATATATAGATAGTCACAGCCTAATTTCAGCCTCCTAAATTATAATCAGTTCGATATCAAATGTCAGACATTTAACCCTTCATGGCATGGCTGGGATGGCACACATTTATATTAGTGTCATGCGTTTTTTAGCATTAAACAAAAAGATAAGAGATCATTCATCATTATGAGTTCCGGTGATGGAGAATGTGTACCACAGTTCTTGATGCCATGAATGCACAGGTAAGTAGCTTGAAGTTTTTATAAGTGTTGGCGGTCTAGGCTCAAAACAGAAGTACCAAAATACCAAAATATTGTGCAACCAACAAACTGCAGCAATTCCCAAAAGTGCTATTCCTTCCCCTTTTCACGGTGGTAAATCTGGATTCCATAGATACTCAGCATCAAGGCTTCAAACCATCAACTGTACAAGGCTTCAAACCATCAACTGTACAAGGCTTCAAACCATCAACTGTCAGGCGATAACTTACTTCACATTATTTGTGATTGCATATTCTTAATAGCTTTTTCTATGGCAGGTACATTGTTCTTAAAGACGGACCACTGTTCCTCAGTCAAGCTTATTCCTGAGGCAAAAATAAGACCAGTGTTATTAATCTAAAAAAACAAGCCATTTAAATTTCCAAAACAAAAGAAAAAAGTTATACACGTTTGAGCTTAAATTACAAATTATTTGATCTCTAAACTTTCAACATTACAAATTTATTCCATTGTTTCATCTGTCATGTAGTTTTGAATTGAATATTGAATGAATAGAGAGATTAAATCCAGAAAAAAGAACAGAGAATTCAAAGGATACTTAAGTAAAAATTAAAGAAATAGAAAGAAGACGAGGAAGGATAGGAACTAAAGAAGGAATAGGTAGGAACTAAAAAAGGAATATTGAACTAGTTCGAAGGATTCAATAATATTATTACTTCATTCGGGAGTTTTTACTTAGATAAATCTTAGAAATATAATAATAAGTTTCTTTGGTTGACTGTATCATTAACCATTTCTTTCATTTGGTGTGAGTAACTTATCATGAATCCACCTATTTCTTCCGCTTCTGTTATTGTTGCTAGGTTTGCTAGGTTGGCTACCGGACAAACTTCTATTGGATATGAACTTTCATATTTGTTAAAATTCATGGATCTATCAAACTCAAAATTGAAAGTTTAGGTTTTCATTAGACATCAGATTTAAATTTATACCTAATAGATCAATGAATTTGTTAAGAAACTATTAAACACAAAATTGAACGTTCAGGCATCAATTAGACAAAAAATTGAAAGTTTAAGAATCAATTAGATACAAAGTTGAAAATTTAGAGACCGAATCGACACATATCTAAATTTGTAATTTAACCTAAAGTTTAATCATAGATCCAAGTTCACGAACAAAGAGATCAACATGCAGTGGTTTTATAAATATCATCCCTGTTCCTCACTCTATTCATATTAGACTCATACAAGTTTCACACATTACCTTGTATCAGAGACATCACAAATCAAATGTGTGGCCCTGGTTGCACATTTAACTTCGACAAAGTGAACTGCCTTATATTTCAACGAAAATCATCTTCCCACTTCCCATGTCAAGCCAATAATTGTTTCGTTTTTACTTATAGTTCACCAACATGTTCTAAGAAACAGTGATTTCTCCCACTTTCAATTGCTTCACTCAGTAAAAGTTTTCAATGCATCAGTGTGGTTATGGAGTAGTAGAATGCTCACTATCTTCACAAAATCAAACAAGAAGCACACATATAACAGGAGTTTCGCCTAATTTGTAGTCTCTGTAAGCAATATATTGACATACAAAATTTCACAAACGCAAGCAAGTAGAGCATTTGGAGAATTACCTTTTGCTGTAGGGAGGTCTTTCCCATCCTTTCTATAAAACTCCCTGATCGAAACCAGAGTCTTCCCTCTAAAATCCTGAATCGTCACCTTCCTCTTGCTGGATAACTGAGCCAAATAACACCATATTTTGAAGTTTTACCACAAATATACAATCAGAACTTAAAAAAAAAATAGTCAAATCTCCACTAATAAACAGAAAGAACTGCAACCGCAAACTACTAGCAAGGAGAAGAGGCAGAAAAAAATAAAAACAAACCCAACAAACAATGAGATCGCCATCGTCGTCGTACTCCTTTTCCTTAGCAGCAGAGGCATCCTCGGCCTCCTCTTGCAGCTGATCTGCAGAGGCATCCTCGGCCTCCTCTTGCAGCTGATCTGCAGAGGCATCCTCGGCCTCCTCTTGCAGCTGATCTTCAGACCGTTTTTGGAGGAAGGATTCCACAACCTTGCGAACCAGAGCCTTGTAAGGGGATTTGGAGAGGTCGAGGTCGAGGTCCTTAGAGGCAAGGGCTCGAATTTTGGACTCGGTCATTTCGTCCATGTCGGAGGATTCGAGAATTCTGCGGACGGCTTCCTCGATTCTACGTTGGATTTTGGAATCCATATCCGAATTCTTCGATTACTTCTCCGTAGATTTCTGGTAGAGAGACTGAATTGAGCAGAAAAGTCGAAAGCCGAAGAATTTTTAGGGAAAGTTGCTGTTCTCAGCTAAATCTTTCTAATTGACATTCCGGTTCAGGAAAAATAGAAAAATAGAAAAAAAGAAAAAAGAAAAAAGAAAAAAAAGCTGACATGTCCGATTTGGCTTTTAAAATATTGGAAATTTCTCAACGATCAAAATTAATATATTAGTACGTGTATATATATATATATATATATATATATAAATGTTAATTAAAAAAATAAGTTTATGCATTATCAAAATTAAGACGTAATTAGGTGAGATTTTTAATTGTAAAGTTTAAATAATTACAAATTTTAGAGTAAAAACACATCATCGACAATAACTAAACAAAGAAAGTTTGAGGGGAAAAGTGACTTTTAACTCTATTTTTTAAAAATTGAAGTTCTAATACTTTTGTCATTGGTACATGTTTTAATATGTTAAATTAAGCTCAAATTCAATCGGGAAGTAAGTTGAATATGGACCTTTTAATGGCTAATTCTAACTGTAACCTTCTCTGACTATGAGGCTGGTAAGAACAATTGGATCAAAATAAAGTAAAATGATAAATTAGAGACGGATTATAAAAGAAATTGTTAGATTGCAATATTATAAAGTCCAAAAGCTGATGAACCTAAAGAATTTACCCGAGAAAAAGAGATTTTTGGCTTGAACCTTGTAATATTCCAAGTCTATTACTAGCAGACATATTGCACTCTTTGAGCATTCTCTTTCCACCTTCCCTTTCAGGTTTATCTTAAAAAATATTGTCCTATTTTAGTTTTTCCTTTCAAATTTTTCCTTAAATATTGTCTTCGGTTGGTTTTACCTTTCAAGTTTCTTAGCTTTTTCATTCAAGTTTTCCCTCTTTAAAACGCGTTGCAAGGGAGAGATTTCCACACCCTTATGAAGAATGGTTTGTTCTCCTCCCGAATCGATATGAGATCTCACATACTTCAACGAGCCGTTTTTGCCAATATTGGCAGAGGCTTCAACCCTCCCCCTCCCTCCTTTGGATGTAACCTCGTTCATGCTTTGTCCACGCCGCTTATATCTGCCACCTGATGCTACAAATCCAGGACAAGGCTTGTATGTATGCCTTTATAGGCCACCAACCAAAACCAGGGACTGTTGTATCCTCCCCTCTCAATTTCTTCCCTTCCACAGGCCTTGCCTTACACCCTCTGTTTATAAAGCAATGGAACAGAAAACAAGCTCTTTCTAACCCATACCCTTGGCACCAACATTACAATAACTTCAGCCAAGCAGAACTCAGATGAAAGCAATTTAAGTGAAAATTACTTCAAAACAAACGTCCAGATTGATGGTTTGAAGAAAACCCCAGATGTGTTTTAAAATGAACCTTTCAATTCCCTTATACACACTGAAATACACGCCCTTCAATAGGTACGAGCGAAAGAACTAAAGAAATGGAGAACATTCAACTCTGAATGGGGTGCCAGTGATTATCAATGCTGAGCCACATCTTCTCCGGTGCCGGCTTGTCCCTCAGCTAATTACACCAATAGGATTTATTACGACCAGAGGGAGCCTGGAGGTTGAAGGTGAATCATCTAGTTGATGAAAATCAAAGTGAAGTCATGGATCGATGAGGGGGTGTGGGAGTGGTAGCATATGATGAGGAGTGGAAGAATGGAGCTCGCTTAGGTGCAGGAACTGAGAGAAGCGCAGTTCCCATGTGTGCGTGCGTGGTGGACACGGGAAGATAGGGCAACACAACGAAGCACATGTAAGGGGCTTCAAATAGAATACAAAACTATTTTAAGATGATAATTAATATCTTATTCACTACTATATGCAGAGGTGATGCTCAACCTCACTTCACTGACAGAGATTTACCCATGGTCGGGCATTGCATAACAAAGAAAGCTTAAACACATTTGCATTAAAATTGTTCCAAAGTTCCTATTCCTTATCCTTCCTTTACAAAGAGTTACTGAACAAGTGATGTACCTGTCAAGGTGAAGGAGTCAATTGATCATCTCAATAACAAGCCTTAAGAAATTCAAGTACAGACATTGGTGAGTTTTGTTATGACTCCTTCCATTGCCGGAAACGCATGCACAGCCATTTGAGCATTGGGCATGAATCAGGCTGCGGAAAAATACTTCTGAAGTGATTGAACTCTTAAAAGCTCTGAACCAACAAAAATATTAGGGACCAAAAAAGAAAAAGAGAAAAAAAAAAAACCAATTTGAAAGAAAAACGGGAGCAATGAACACAGATCAAGCAAAACTGAGGTTGGAAAAGTTAAAAATGGTGTTGCTTAAGAGTAATCGACAAGAAATCTTTCTTTTAAACCTTGCTTCTGCTACCAGACACCGCCCTATCTTTGTACCTCCTAGTATTGTATACTTTTTCCATTACTTCTCTTCTATCTTCTCTCAGTTACCCATGAACCATTTGTTGTTCCATCTCCCCAACAATGAGCATCACGGAGCTGTGATGATGCACCATGTACCATCTACCATTATGGAACTCATAGATGTTAGTCACATTGAATGGCCCTGTATCCATGTCAACGTAGGTTTTCATGCTAACCCAAGCCATGTCTGTAAGCACACGAGCCCGTACATCACGGACCTGAAAATTAATCCCTTGTTCCCAATTGAATGCAACCTGCCAACTTTGAATTACGGCATTATACCTGTTGACAAAGAAAACCCAATCATTGTAAGTACTGGATTAGCATATATAAACAGTCTTTCCCAATCAAGTATTTATATCAAACCATCTAGATATAGCAACTTGACAAGTTCAATATTCAATTCCTTCAACATGGTTCAATCTAAAGCTAATAAGTGTTTTTGTTGATCGTTCCAGCACCCATCCACCCACCCCCAAAAAGAACCGCAGAGGCAGAACAATAAAGCTCCACATACTTAGGCAAGTTAATTTATCGTCATATATCATCTATTCTAAATTGAAGTTAGAATATTAATAGAAATTTCTACTAAACTTGATATGACTCGAGCGAATTACAAGCAACATTCTTCAGTATATCACTAATCATATAATGCAGTTACCCATGCACATGACCAAAAATCTTTCCCCTTAGAGAAGCACTTTGGATATGGCCAGATTCAAAGAACAAAGTCCACAATGCAGCATTGGTCCACCACAACTAGTTGAGGGCCTTGTGGCAACCTAAGCACATGCTGCCCATCTTTCAGCATATAAAGATGGCCTTTCCAAAGTAAATGAGAAATTTGTGCAAAAATACGAGGAAGACCCTTTTATCCGAAATCTCATAAATTGCTCTATCAAGTGATAGTAGAGAGTAGAGACACAAGGTTTTCTGTATTGCCGGTCTCAACATAGTACATAAGTTACTATTCTCAAACGTTCTTATATAAAAAAAACTTAGAAATCAAGAAATTCAGATAATCCACAGCACCCATATGACAGTAATCATAAGCCTCATGTCATTTCTAAAAATCCCTTATATATCACCTTCTTCTCAGTAAAAAGGCGTAGAAAATGTAAATATCAGATGAGGAGACCAAAACGGGGTCATATATGCAAGCTCACAAATCTAAAATATGCAAATGTAGGACGTGCGACGTGTTTGATAATTTAGTTGGCCATATCAAGCAGCAGTCAGATATCACGGTAAAAAAAATACAATAAGGTAAATACCCGGAAAAGAATTCTCCTGAGGCATGAATACACTTCACATAATCTGCATTTAACCAAAAATGACTCATCGCTTGAAGAGACCTGTCTCTGATGATGTTATAGAATTGGGCATTGATATTCATAATTGTTCTTGTTGCAGCATAATATGCCTTCCACCCGTTAATTGGAGTTACAGTATCCTGTTCCAGTGTGAAGTCCTAAAAGATTTCATGGGAAATGTTGTTTTAGCCCCAGAGAATCCTAAATAGACTTAAACATCTAGAACAACACACAAAAGTGGAAGGGAGCACAGAGATGGGTCTTGGCAATTCCAGAACTTCGGCCACAAGCCATCAATTGAAACGATTTCATTATTTGAAAGATAAGAGTTAATAAAGTCAGTTCGTTCCCCTCCAGAATTACAAAAAGATGCTGACGACTATGGTAGCAAAAGTTCGAAACAAATAACACTATATTCCATTCGTGTTTCTTCCCTGGCACTCATCTTACAGAAGAAAAATAAATTACCATAACTCCATCAGTTCAGACAAAAACCGTACAAAAGAAGATTAAACCGAACTCGTACCTTATGATAAAGCGCCTTCCAGGCACTATCATCATTCGCGGCTTTCCGCATCAAGGAATTAGTCATGGACAAACGACACAGACTGGGATAATCCAAGTAACTAAGAGCGTGCGTAGTAATCTCCGGGACCAACTGCTCCATCATCGAAGCGCCCGTCTGCCGCTCCGTCACAACAACCGGCGCCTTCTCCAGCACTTCCACTGCATGACCGTTCAAATAAGGCATACTCGTACTAGTCGAAGAAGTAATCTCAGCCCTGGGGTTCAAACCCCCAATAGCCACACCACCGTTAAGCGAACAGGTACAATTAAAATTCCTCGTACCCACGCCCTCCAATTGTACCGTTGTCGTCCTTCTAATGTAAGGAACAGAAACCAATCGAACGGCAGCGAAAAGAGCGAGAAGAAAACAAAGAAAAGTAACAATCGCAGCTATAGGAAAAGGTTGGGACAACAAGGCAATGGTGGCAGCAGAGGCAATCTCCATTCAAACGACATGAAAGCCTCTATATGACGTTCAGCCTCACAGAACATGAAACCCTAAGAAATTTGTCGCGTCGCGTCGCGTCGCGTTTCAGCGGAAGGTGTGTAAACGCGCCGTCGCCGTGAGAAGCTCAACTGTGCAATAGATGGTCAACCATGGAGTTTGGTACATGAAATGTGTAGGCCAGCGCCGGAGATGAGTTTCAGGAAATGATCTCCGGTGACGGAATCGGAATTCTGTGGAATCGGAGAGGCGGAAGAAGGAGGAGGAGGTGGAGGTTTTGGGTTAGTGACCCGTGAATGGTATCGTAACAGACCCAAAGGGGAAAATTTCCAACGTGTGAAACTTGTCTGTCAGTCA